CATGATGCAGGCTGGACCTGATCTGGTTTCCAAAATTTTCTGTATTTTTAGTGTGTATTGCTTTGATTGCTCATAGTACAGTATATCTCAGAGGTGTTATGTCAATGGAAGTCACCCTCTTGAAGCTGTGTTATTTGTTTTTCCATTTTTCTGTGCATGAAGCCCAGGGTTGATGATCCTGTAAGGACAGCAAGTAGTATAAGAGGTTCAGGGGGAGGGATTACAGTGGTGGGGGGAATGTAAAAGGGAGAAGACATCAAGAAAAAGAATGTTTGGAAATTGTGGTAGCAATTGTACACTGTACTCAACATGATTAAAATATGGAATGGTAGAGGTACTAAATCCCAACTAAATAAATTTTTAAAAAAGAGCTAGTCTCAGAAACCCTATAGGGTCGCGATGAGTCAGCATTGACTCCACGGTAGGTAGTGAAGTCGTTTGCTTTTTGAAGAGGCCCTAAGGGCTGGGAGGCTGGGGTACCACAGCTGAAGGCCTGGAGGGCTCCGCCAAGCACCACCCGGGGGAGCAGCAAGCTGGAGGGGGCTGTGGATGGGTCGGCACCTAATTGGTTACAGAGGACCCCTAACCCAACCCCAGGGGGAATGTGGGCCCAGGACTGCCATGACTGCTCCCTTTTTTCATTATGTGGAACCGCTTCACTGGCCACCGTTGGGGTCCAAGTAGAGCACTGTCGTGGGCTGCCAGCCTGCAACCTGGTACTGCCCTTTATGACCAGTGCCTCTCCTCTGGCATACTGACCCAATACTCTGTCCTTGTCCTGATGTGGCCGTCCCAGGAGCTCCTGCACGGTCCCTGACTTTGAAGCGCTTTCTCCTGCTCACCTCTCCAAGTGCCCACTGGGGTGGGGTGGGGGGAGACTAGCTTGTTGGACTCCAAATCGAATGAGTAAGGCACCATGTCCACACTGCCCAGTGTTTGCTACGATGGCATTATGTCTGCCACGCCCCCATACCCACCTGGTCATCGTATTTTATACCTCCTCCATGAAACCACTCCTCCACTGCCTCCTCAACCTTCAGGCCTGGACCAGCCTCCCTGGGCTTTCCTTTAACAAGCAGGGCCCAGCAAGGGAGATCCTGAGATAAATAAGGCCCAGGAGCCTCCAGTCCTGAGGAGGGTAGGCGTGCATTCAACACACCTGACCAGTTACAGAAGAGGCCTGTGACTCATGGCGCCCTCCTGTGTGCCAATGAAGAATTGTGCTCTTAGGGTTTCAGTGGCTGAATTCCCTGGAGGAAACCCCTAGGCCTCAGGCCTCATAGGTCTCTGGGTAGACTTGAACCTGCTACCTTTGGGTTAGCAGCTGAGCTGTGCTCCCCATTCCAGGGACACGGCACTCCCCTGCCCCTTGGGTGCGCAGCAGGGCTGCAGAAAGCGGGAGAAGACAGAGAAGGGAATGACCTGGGCCCAAGCCACGCAGCCTATTTGAGCTGTATGCAGGGGTGAGTCAAAGCAAGTGAGGCTGAATCAACCCAATCACCAGCCCGAAAGTACAGGGGTGTGAAGGTTCTGAGAGAGGTGTCCTTCAGGTGGGGAGGGAGCAGAGGATGGCTGGGGAAGCTGTAGGGATCAGAGTGGCTTAGGGATCAAGGGGGTTTTGTTTTGTGCTTGCATCTTATGTTATCCCTGCTATTCCAGAGCAGAGGCTGCTGCATGTCAGCGTTCATTGCTCCACACCGGACACCTGCCCCAAATCTGTGGCAGAGGACAGTGCCCAGAGTGCCCCCTACTGGCTCCCTTTGGGACCGCAGCTGCCACCAACGTGCACCCAGCTCAAGGATGCTGGCAGCTGTTACTAGGGATGGCGCTTTGCCCAGCAAGCAGCTCACTTGCTCTCTACCCGCCCCTGAGACATTGCTCACTCTGACCTATTAAACGCTTACTCCCTGTTGACCGTTCTGCATTAGGGTTTACAGCTACAGAACTTACCGAATCCCGACTACTGCCCTGGCAGTACTCAGAATCATGAACGTTTCATCGTCAAGGACGACTGACTGAAAAAGTTGGATGCAAACTCTCACCAAAAACACAGTAAAATATATATACATTTTTAAAAGGGTCTCTAAGCCTTAGCCTATGTACAGGATCTACAAGAGCACAATGGAGTGTTTTGGAATTCTGAGTCTTTATTCACCCATTGTTGATTCACAGTTGAATGCATTTGCAGAGTCAATAAAATACAATTCAACAAAAACCAAATGTAGGGTGCTAGAAGGGAAAACCTGGGGCAATGACCCCGCCTCCTGCCATCCATCCACTGAGCACTTAGAGAGCGGGCTATCATTTGCAGAGGGTGCACAGGTGGGAGCTGGAGCCCCAGGCTGGACTTGAGTCTCCAACGTGCGCTCTCTAGCGAGAAGCCAGGAAACTGAAGCTTGGGGGTGGCCAGTGCCCAGTAGGCATGGGAAGCAGGGAGCACGCCTCACCTGGCGGTGTGTAGTTACATGAATAAGAGCTCAGGCTGAGGGATGAGAGGTAGGCAGGTGGGTGGGCATGTGCCCCACCTTTCTGGGGTTGCTAGTGACACTCTACCTCTCCATAGGATCTGCTGTTGCTCCAGAGGAGTACCCGCTGGGGAATTCACCGACCTACTCACCACGGATGGTTGTGGTTCTCTGTGCGTGTATTCGCGCAGGTGGCCCTTATTTAGAAGTAGCCCCCACCTCTCTCTTTCCCATGGATTCTTCTGCACAGCCCTTACCACGACCTAAAGTTCTCTCTTAAGACTGGAGTCGCCTACACCTGCTCTAGGGCTGGGGCACTCAGCCCTCGCCCAGTCTCCTCTCCCGTAAAACTCGATTCCGAATCACAGCGACCCTATGGGGCAGACAGAACTGCCCCTGTGGGTTTCCGAGACTGTAACTCGTTTCTCCCCTCGCTTGTGAAGCAGGATGACGATGTACCGACATCACAGGGCCGTGTGGTCAGTAACTTGAGCTGTTAGAGCACGTGGTGTATGTGTCTATGTGCCAGATGTATGCGCGAGGCTGCAGTGAGCTCAAACACCACACCGCACTGGGTGAATCTGTACACGAGCGGGCCTCGAGTGTGGAGAGAGCTAGGACTGCACTTGGAAGACTTCAGGTGTGCTGCAACACAGCCACGGGATTTCCAATCCCCGCTTTTGAAAGCTGGGCATCACGACTAAGGAAGACAAAAGAACGGGTGCATTTGAATGACGGTGATGGTGAAGAATATTGAAAGAACCATGAACTGCCACAACCCACAAACCCTGGAGAACCCTCCTTAGAAGTGAGAATGGCACGATTTGGTCTGATGCACTTTGGACATGAGACAGGAAAAGGGCATCCTGCCCGGTGGAGGGGCAGTGAACAAGGAAGTCTCTGAAGAAGAGGGACTGACACAATGGCTGCAGCAATGTGTTCAAGCTTCACCAGATTGTGGGTGTGGTCGTTATATCACCTGGTGTCAGTTTGAGAGGATTAAGAGTGAAGGAGTGGAATTTAACCTGTTCGTCAGGTCAAAGCTTGATGACCTCATTTGGAGGTGCTGAGGAAATAAACAGCTCACTGGAGGCAGGATGCATGCAGGCTCACTCCGAGAGACATTGCAGCTGACAAGACAAATGGAGCTATGCTAGGGCCCTGAGCAGGGAGTGCCCCGTGGAGACCCCTGCCAGCACTGAGATGCTTACAATGTCACTGGACCCACAAGGCTGCCTATCCACTGGCCTGTGATCTTCCTGCACTGTCACTGCATGTTTCATGTGTCTGAAGCCTTTATAGATCAGCACCGAACAATGTGCCACAGAATTTAGATCCTTGTCTTTACAAACCAAGTGCATGATGTCTGGCAGAACCTGGCACTTAAATCCCTGCCACTGAGTCAGAGAGCCTGTAGGACAGGGCAGAACGCCCCTCCTTTAGGTTTGAGACTATAACTCTAATGGGGGCAGAAGTTCTATCTTTCTCATGCAGAGGGGCACCAGCCTCAGGGATGACAGCCCAAGGCACAGCCATCACGCCACCAGGGCTCCCACCTGGCACAGAGGAGCCGAGTAAACTGTTGAGTGACAGTGAGATTTACAGGGGACCAGGAGAGAGTCAGGGAATAAAGCTAAAGACTGCTGGGGGTGGGGGGGCATTACATTCTTACAAGGGAGAGAGCTGTTGATCTGGGTCCCGCAGGACCCTCATTCCTGGCCACTCCACCAAGGTGAGTTGACACAAGAGACCAGAGTTCCCATCTGTAGCCCTTCCCCTACCCCTGTCCACAGCCTGCGCTATTGCACAAACTTCTGGGAGGCTCAGAACAGGAAGACAGGTGACACGGCAGGATCCAGCCCCACTGGGCCCCCCACTCCCATAGCCCTCTCAGCCCTCCCCTCTGGTGGTCAAATCTGGGACTCTTGCCACCTCCTCCCCTGGGCTTGGGCAGTTTCTTTCGGGAGAGGTAGGAAAACCTGTCGCACAGGGTGGCCAGAGCCTGAACAGGTTGGACAGGGCTGTCCCATCTCCCCCAGCAACCCTGTCCCTTCCCTCCCTGGCCACAGAGAGGAGGCCAAGCCTACAGACCAAACCACTTTATTACACTGGTGCCTATGGGAAGTGGGGCGGGACGGAGATGTGCCGAGGCAGAACCAGGGAGGGTGGAGGGGATGGGGGGGTGCATCCTTCCACGCCCCTGTCTTTTCTCTGGCTCTGTCAGCAAGACCAGGCCTGAAAGGGGCATTGGAGCCCAGAGAGCTCAATAACAGAGGAAGAGGAAGAGAGAAAAGCCACCTCCCACTCCCCACCGCATTAAATAAACAGAAAGCAACTTTTTACAGCACAAAATATACAGAGGTCCTTCCGCCTTGCCCTGGACTGGGCAGAGGGGGGCAGTTTGGGGAGGGCAGGGTTGGCACCTGGACAAGGTTGGTGTCGCCCCAGGTCCCTCCCCACCCTGAGGTAGCCGTGGGGTAGGGTGGGCAGTTTTGAACACGAGAAACGTCAACAGCCCCCGAGATTCTAGGCAGGCAGTTGAGGAGACAGGTAGGTCCACTGGCTCTGGCTCGACCCGACCCTTGAGCTTCCTCAGGAACGCGGGCTCGGGCTCAGGGGAGCTGCCTCCAGGAGGAGCCGGGTGGAGGCCAGGCTCTGAGCAGTGGGCTTGGGGCACAGGCAGGAGGCGTCTGGTCCCAAAGTCTTAGCCAGTCCAGGCCTCTTTGCCTTGGCGAGGAGGAAGCAAAGGCCTGGTGAGCTGGCGAGTGCCCTTGCCGCCAGGCGGCTGCCAGCTCAGAGGGGTTGGGTCGTGTGGTTGTAGACGAGGTGCTCCGTGTCCTCAGTGGTGGAGACGGTGGAGCTGGCAGGGGTGGGTGGTGGGTGGCGGCGGTGGCTGTGGAAGTCCTTCCTCTGGTTCTTGAAGAAGCAGTAGCCCAGGACGCCTGCCACCACCACGATGCAGGTGGCCAGCAGCACTGCCACGGCTACCTCCACAGAGCCTGGGGGAGACGGGGCAGAATGAGGGGCTCCAGACGCACACTGTGTCCAGGGGAGTCAGTCGCAATGGGTGCCAGTGGCGAGAAGCCCTGAGGGCCCAACTCAGATGCTAGCCAGGGCAGCTGGCTGACTCGATGGGGCACAGAGTGGGCTCTGGCAGGCCCCAGGGCTGGGCTCGCCTCGGAAGCAGCTTGGAGAAAGGCCTAGGACCCAGGGACAAACACCTGCCACGCAGGTGATCGAGTTCCCTGCCTGGCGCATGGTGGGCACCCCTGCTTGGCCCTGGCATTCTACAGGCTTCTCTCAGCACAGCCCCAGGTCTCACCCCAACTCCTGGGGTTGGGGGCACCAGCCCTGGAGCGGCTCCTGGCCAGCCTCGGTGACAGGGCACTTACCCACATTGGGGATGGGGTTTTCTCGCCTCAGACCAAACACGTCCTTCTCTGCAAAGTGATGCAGGGGGAGACCAGTCAGCACTAAGGGCTCTGGGACGCAGCCACCCCCAAGGGGTCCCAGATCCGTGTGGAAGCCTGTCCCCTCTATCTGTGGCTAGGATCATCCCCTGTGGAAATAGCGTTTTCCCAGTCGGTGGGGTCTTCTCAGTGGAGGGGATGTCCTCAATCGAATCACTTCTGCGCTCATCACCCCCTGACCCCCCAACTTCCATCTCCCTCCACCTTACACTTCAGGTACTCTGGGGAGCAAGGTGTGACCAGCCTGGACCCTGGGACCAAGCTCTGGCTCAGCGCTTCCTCTCCCGTGGTCACCTCCCCGCCACTCTGCTCACTGGAGACGCCTTGGCAGGACTCCAGGCACTGCCGCTCCTCCTCAAAGTTGTTCCTGTTGCCGTGACAACCACCATAGGTAAAGCGGGCGCAGCGCTCGATGAAGGGGTTGTAGTACCAGCGGGAGATGCTTTCCTGGCAGACCCCCGTGTCTGGCAGGTCCACGCAGTGCCCTGGGGGATGGAATGGCAGGCAGAGGGCCCTGTGAGGCCAGGCTCTCCGCGGACCAGCACCTGCCAACCCTGCCCCATGCCGAGGAGGCTGTGGCTCAGGTGCCAAGAGCCCTGGTAATTCAAGTCTGCCAGCGGCTCCCAGGAGCAGAAGAGGCTGTCTGCTCCGGGATGGAGACACGCTCTCGGAACCCTACAGCTGTCCTGAGAGTCGGAATCCATCGACTGGATGGCAATAGTTTGCTTCCTGTTCCTGACTGTGCCTCCCTTTCTGAAAACGTCTCAACTGTCCTATTTGGGCTGCTGTGCTCTTGGACCAAGAGGACAGACAGATGGACGGGCTTCGCCGGCCGAGGTTCCAAAGGCAGTAGTGTCCCTCTAAAATGGAAGGACATCACCTCGCTCTATTTTTATCACCCTCTCTGTGTGTGGCAAGGAATAACAGCTTTTCATTTATGGCAGTGATACGGAGTTTCCTTTTTAAAACAGACGGTCATCAATGAAGTGAAGTGGACACAGCATTCAGACAATGACCGAGGCCGGAGAAGCCGGCGGCAGGGCAGGGAGCCCAGGAGCCAGCGGGACCAGTCCCTCTCGGGGAAGTGGGGCCCACCCCTCGGGCCCTCCCAAGGGAGCAGACGGGCTCGGCCGTCAGTGCCATGGTCTGCCTGACCCTCTCGGGTGTGGCGGGCTCGCACCTTTCTCACTGGGGAAGTGGAAGCGCTGGAGCTCGTCAAAGCTGCTGACGTCTGCAGGGACGAAGGGTCAGAGGTACAGACTCAGTGCGGGCCCCCAGGGGCAAGGCTAGCACTGTCGCCCGCCCACGCCCGTGTCCCCAGGCCTCACATTTCTCACAGGTGGCCTCGTCAGACGCATCGGGGCAGTCGGGGGTGTCGTCGCACTCCAGGAAGCTGTCGATGCAGCAGCCATTGCTGCAGCGGAACTGGGTGGCCTGGCAGGTGCCAGAGCACACTGGGTGGGGGCAGGGCGGGCAGGGCAAGGTCAGGCCGGAGCCCACAGGCCACCAGCTACCCAAGCTCTGCCTTCACTCA